GTATTGACTTGCGATTGGGTTACTAAGTTTAATGTTTATATTTATGTCTTCCATAACAATAAGACTATTTTTTAACTGAATTTTTTTCAACATATTAGTTAGCTCAGTGACGGACTGATTTTTGTTGGTGAATGGTGGCCTATACACAATGCAAATGCCAATGGTTTGTTCATTGTTTAGTGCTACGATTATATTTTCTGGCACTTACTTTGAATAAATGTAACGCTATCATGAACATATAGTAAAATCCCCCCACCTCTCCTATGACGTCTCAATTCATGATATAATGTATAATGTTACAAATTATAAATGTTTACACAGTCACTATGAATATTAGCCTCAGTTATCATTATTAGGTGAATAACATGGTTGGTATTGTATATCATATATTCAAGTTGAGCAAAGTTTTTAAGTAATGAAGAAATATTGACATGGTAAAGCAACAAAGAACCACCAATGAGTTGAGAAGCAAATTCTTTAAGATAGTTGCAGTTAAATTCAATTATGTTTTTACTAGGATTATCTGATACAATAGTAGCCATTAGTTTTATATAGAATTAAGTACGATATTTAACAATTTATATTATAATATTTTAAATGACTTCCCTGCTGTGATCTGGTTAGTCCTTTCAATTCACAGAAGGAGTGGTGTTTGGATAGTTTTTAGTTTGACTCCTTTTTAGTGCTTCTAATTCGGAGACGGAACGCACATGCACTATTTTTGCGTTGATATCTTTACGGAGCATAATGGATCCATTTTTGCACCAGATAAACTTGAAGTTCTCTTTCAATTCTTGTTTTGTTTTCCACAGTACGAAGCCAACGCCAGGTGATAAAGCCTCTCGAAGGTAGAATTTTCCGCTCAAAATCAATCCAAGGTCCTCCGGGGTGGTTTCGATTTTTTGCAGAAAAATTGGTCTCTGGCACCCTCTCGTAGTACTACGGTGATAGGTGATGTGGGAATGGATTCATCATGTTTGGTTTTAGCGGCAGAAAGCGGGCGACGTTTGCGATATGATTTAATCACATCATCGGGGTTTTGTTTCATGTATTCGGTCACCGTGCGAGAAATATTTTCGACATCTTCTTCCTCCAACTCTTTTATTCCGCATATTTCTAACTGATTCGAAATCAAATGTTGTTCTAACTGAATTATTTTACCCTCTAAAACACTGTATTTCAAATTCATGTTGATTAGATTATTTTTCAAATCACTACTACATAGGTTTTCAAGAATTTTATTATTTTTTTCATATGTATTGATTTTTACGGTAAATTCATCTAGTTTGTCGGAATAGTACTTTAAAGATTTCCTTGCGCAATTCACTCAGTATTTGCTTAATCATGCTGTTATTTGACTCGCAGTTGGTTATGCCACTCTCCAGGTCAGAATTATCGTGTTCCTCATCTTCTGGGTCCGGTACTATAAATGATAATCTTTTTTGCTTGGAATTAGATGATAGTGCACAATTTTTACACTTCCAATCCATAGCGTCGGTACTTGATAAAGCTGTCAATCGATCCATGGAGATAGATACACATGAAGCATGGAACCATTTAATAAGCGGCATTAGATACCCCTGTTATGAAGAATGACCTACATAAAAGTACACACACACAAATAAAATGCTGATCATTCTGAATGCCTCCCTCGTGTCCTATATATTTTAGAAGGCGGTCTCACGTCTTTCAGCTAATGGAAATGCACTTTAAGCCAAAAGCAAAGGAAACATCAGTCTCAAATCGAAGGTACGAAGAAAGTCTACGAGATCACCCTGTCCGACGGTTGGTATGTGCCACAGATCACAAAGAACCTCTTCTCTGTCCTCGCTGCTCATGACTGCAACTTAATAACGAAGTTCGAGTCGACTCTGCGTGGTATAGTGAAGCTGATAGGTGTACACAGCATCAGCGGTGGGTTGTACAAGCTGAACGTAGAAAGCGTGAAACCCAAAAGAAATTTGGAAGTATATCTTACCCTTACATGGTATCATGCCATGCTGCTGTATCATGACCGTTGAACGTTTTGTTCACCAGAACAAACGTCATGTTCGAAAATTTGTGTAACAAGAGTTGGGTATAAATCTTCCTCAAAATCAAACGATATGTGAAAGCTGCATACTGGGCAAATCCCATCGTCTGAAGTTTGGCACGCGACCTCGAGCCTCAAGAGCAGGCGAGCTCGTACATAGCGACGTATGTGGACCATTCCCCAATTAATTCACAAAGTTGCGATACTTCGTGCTGTTTAAGGATGACTTCACTGGCTATCGATTTGTGTACTTCCTGAAAGCGAAATCGGAAGTAAAACAAAAGTTGAAAGATTTCATCGCCGAAGCACGAAACTCGGGATGTCCGACCGAAACGCTTCTGAGCGATAATTTGCGCGAATTTGATAGTAAAGATGTGCGCGAGGTCCTTTCCACTCATGGAAGCAAACACCATTTAACAATGCCATACACCCCAGAACAAAATGGATGCGCCGAGACAGACAACAGGACCCCGGTTGAGGCCACCAGGAGCAGAAGCTATGGACCGAGTTAGTCAATGCTTTACCCTATAACCCTCAAAGGAAGACTAGTCGAATACGATTTAGATGATGGCTATCGTATTTGGTTCGACGAGAAACCGCTTGACCGAACTTAATGCGACCACGTTTTTTTATTTATTTTTTAGCGAGGTAGGCAAGTGACAATACCCCACTTAATGTTAAGTGGTGATAAAGTCCAAACGCGGAGATAGTTGGTACAACAGTTATAAACTGCTACACCAACAATCGTCACCTTGCCGGCCTGCAAAAATGCTTCTTCATGCCTCTCTTCAAGGACCCCAGATTGTAGGAAAGACGGAATACGTGCGCGAGCAAAGAATTCCACTTACGAATAGTACGACAAAGAAATGCGTCACCAAATGTCTTCGTTCGTGTAGGAATAGTGGCCATAGTTTGTACCTACGTCAACGAAAAAGGTAACACCGATCAACGAATTCGAGTTGAAGGTAATCTTTAATGAAGAGCGCAAAGAAGTTCATCAAGATCCAATCTTGAACTCAAGCCATCAAAATAAACAATCAGAAACTGATGTGCAGAATCAAGGACGTGCACCTCAACTGCAGAAAGACATATATTCTTATCCTGACCGGGATAATCACTCCGCTGGTGAAAAGTGAAGACCACCTAGCCCCACCGCTGGTGAACAATCTAGACTACCCAGCCCCGATGATGGTAAACAGTCAAGACCAACTACCCAATGTAAGGTGGTACGACAAAAATCTAGAAGATTCATCTGATTCCGAAGATGACTCTGAAACTGAGATACAATCTACGAGATAGAACCACCATTCGTCCCCCACAGAGATACAGAGACTATTGTGCACTTTCCGACGACGAAGCTGAACCCACTACGTCCTAGGAAGTTATGAAGAGCCCGTATAAAGAAGTGTGTAATTAGAGTTTCGATTTTTGCGAATGTATATTAGACTGCATTTGTGTGCATATTCCTACCTCCGCAAAAAGTAGCAGAATGATTTCAATAGTATAATGTCGCTATGGCTACTCCCATCCGTGTTGGTCTATGTTTACAGGCTCTATATTTTCGTTCAATATCGATTTTATTACCTAAATAAGTCATACTCCACATGACATTTATTAAAAATAAATTTTCCTTTTTGATGTTTACCTTCTTAATATGTGTGATCACTGGATGACAGAGTCTACAAACACACAATATATGGTATGTGGATTTGACTACTACCTACTCTTGGGAATCGGTGGACGTGGGCAATATCGCTGCGACATTGGCGCCGCAGATAAATCCTTGTAAACAAAATTGTTGCTGTCACCGATATCGTATTTTATGATGGGCACGAACGAAGGCAACATGAAATTCAAATCGTACAAAATTGACCGCGATCCTTTCCCCACACAACTACAAATAACAACTCTCTAAAACACCACAAATCCTTTGAACCCGACGGACAATGAGTGTGACATAGTGCTATTATTACATTTTATTTTCCCCCACGGCGCCTTATTATTTTCATACTTTTCTTTTTATCGGGGTTATCGGCTATAAAAAGCGGAATGTGTCTGCCTGATTGAACCTTCCCGAGTTTTATTCCCCAAAACAATGTTACGCACAATCACGGGCTTCTATATATTATAAGCTTAAAATATATGTTGAGATAACTATTTAATGCCTATCGCAATTTATAAGTTTTCACTTAAATAATAACTAATTTAACTGTGTTAGACTTAAATTCACTGATTTTGTTTACTTCTCTGATACTTACAGTGCATATTATTCTAAATACATTGTTTTTACCCGGCTGCGCAATGCAAGAGCGCGAAGCGCGACGCGCAGACAGGGTTATGTGTTTAACAGTCTATATATGTATGTTTGTTCGTTTGTGGCACACTAGAGACCAAACGCCTGGACCGATTTTGATGATTCAAACATCAATCGATTTGTCTCAATCATGGGAGTGCTACTAAAGATATGATAGTAATCAAAATTCAATATGGGCAAAATTAGGCGCCATATTGTGACGAATTAAAAAAAAAATAAGTTGACAAAATATGTCGAGTGGGATATCACTGTCTAGATAATCAAAAATCATATTTAGGTTCCTAACACCAGTTTTCATTTTATATGATTGTTTAGGATCTGCAACGCTTTAAAGTTGTATATTAACCTCTTTCGTCCGAGACGCCGTGTCGAGCAGACGCGTCGCTGATTTATTAGTTGATTGAAGTTAAAGTGCATACGAGTAATACGGGTGTGTGTGTACGTGGATACCGACTGCCGATTAGCCAATAGCCGTATTGAAAAGAGCGCGAGTAGCAGATATTAACCAGTCTCGCTCGGTGCATTGCTGTTGTGAATTTTCGAAGACTCATTGCTAGGGGCCGCATTTACACGGTACGTGTAATAAATACTGCTTACGAAGTCTCAGGATATCTTAAAATAATAATAATTAAGACTTATTTGAGCGAAAAAACGATGTCTACTATATTGAGAACGCCGGAAAAATCAAACTCCGTCCCCGACTTGGCTAATATGGGTGGGACCTCCCCTACTATAACCAAACAAACAATGACACGTAATAAGAGAAAACGTCAGGAAGAACAACAATTATGCCATTTAGATATGGAAGAAGTCAAAAAAGATATAGAAAAGGAAATAACATTCGTTATGCAAGAATTTATGCAAAAGCAAAGTGATCAAATGACTACAATATTAACGTCTCTGAAAGATATCCAACAAACAAGTGCATATGTGCAAAACACTATTACCTTTCTCTGCGAAGAACATTCTGAACTAAAGCAAAAAATTGAAAACTTGGAAATTCAGGCCAGGAAAGATAGAGAGCAGATAGTTTTGCTGGAGACCAAACTAGAAGAAAATATGCGGACAGGGAGAAAATCTAATATAGAAATAAAAAATGTACCCCTAAAGGGCAAGGAAACGAAACAGGATATACTGGAAATGGTGTTTAAGTTATCGGAAAATTTAAAACTCAAAATGGACAAGACTGACATTAAAGATATTATAAAACTCAGTAAAACTAAAAAACAACAAAATAACACTATAATTGTTGAATTCTCAAACACTTTCATCAAAAATGATATTTTGAAAGCTGCAAAACAATTCAATAATAAGAACAAAACTGAAAAACTATGTGCCAAACATTTGGGTATCAACACCAATCCGGAAATACCAATATTTTTTACAGAGAATTTAACTCCTCATTCATCCAGATTATATTTCTTGGCCAGGGATTTAAAAAATATCGAAAAATATAAGTATTGCTGGACCAGTTATGGGAAAGTGTACCTGCGATATGATGATGATTCGCCTATCATTCATGTAGTGAGTGAATCACAGATACGACACTTAGCAAATAAGTGACTAGTACAGTTAAATTTGTTTTCAATTATTTTGTTCGTTATAGTGATAAACTTTGTGTGCCATCGGTGTAAGATGCATCCACTTTATCAATCGTATGTATGTGAAATTATTAGAATGCCATGTTTTTTATTTTGTGTTTATTGTTTGATACAGAATATTGATATTTTTATCGCCACAAGGCAATCGCTAAAATTCTTATGTGTACATAAAATGACATTGGGCTCATTTCATACTCCATTTAAACGATTTACAACTTTATCTGTTATGACTGTTTGTTTCTTGAAGAGTGTGTCTGTATATAACCAACTGTGTTATAAATATATTGAAAAAACTCATGTTTACATACGAAAAAATGGACAAAGAATCAAATATTCCATTATGCTCACATATATTTATGCACGTTCACTGAGAGTGAGAGATTATTTGATTTGGACATTTTATAACCTAACAACATTATACATTGATTACAAATATACACATTTATTGATGTAAGGTCCACTTTTCACTACATCTTGTCTATCAACTATATCTAGCCATGTTATTGTTTCCTTGAAATATTTGATTATTTTTAAACTGCAAAAATATTGTCACTGTACAAGAATCATATTTAATCCTACAAATTTTATACTTTTTAATGGATAGCCATAAAGACATAACACAAGAATTAGACTCTCTAAGTAATGTACATGCTTTTACATGCAACATAGAACAATTATATAACAATTTACCTACCGATACCCCCTACATTTCTATTATTACACAAAATATTAGGAGTGTGCATAAAAGTGAAAATATTGATGACCTTGAGGCCAACTTAAGGTTATTAAATACACAGGTTGACATTATCGCCCTGACAGAGTGTCGTATTAACTTAGACAAGCCTCTTCCACAAAAGACAAACTATTTGAGATACAATTCTACTAAAAAAATCAATCTTAGTGATGGAGTGGTAGTGTATATAAAAAATACACTTCAACACTTCGTAAAGGAAGTTTATCTGTCGGGGGCATCATGCTTAGAAATTAGTACTTCTTCTTTTTGTATAATTTGTATTTACCGCTCTCCATCTGAAAAAAACTCAAGTCATTTCATAGATTCGTTAGATCAATATCTACACTCAGCTCACCTAGTTGCGTGTTATAATAAAGTGTTAATCTATCTATCTATCTATCTATCTAGCAGGTAAATCTATAGTAGTACTTGGAGATATCAATATAAACATAATGCATGGATATCTAGAAACTAATACAAACAAGTATCTTGATATGTTGGCTAGTCATTGTCTTTTACCGAGTCATAGATATGATACCAGAATAAATAGTTGTTTAGAACACATAATAACGAATATTAATACAAAACTTTTTAAGGCATCAGTAGCTATTTTAGATACAACAATTACAGATCATAAAATGGCGACTATTTTCATTTATTCTAAGCAATACTATCGAAAACCTTCAAAATATAAAACGTTTGCTGATTACACAGGGGCTCTTCTTAGCTTAAAATCAAAATCAATAAGTGAATTACTCCTTATAAATGATCCAGAAACAATATTACAAAACACTAAAAGAAAATACAAAAATATTAATTATACCAAACAGCAAAAGGATTATAAAACCATGGATTACACCTGGTGTTTTAAAATGTATTAAGCATAGAAATAATCTTCAAAAAAAATTACGACTTGATCCAAATAATGAGATATTACAAATCACCTACCGTAGATATAGAAATCACTGCACTAATCTATTGAAAAAACTGAAAACACAATATGAAAAAGACTTACTAGACAAATCTAAAAATAATAATAAATTGCTTTGGAAGAATTTAAAACAAATTACTAATTTAAATAAACAAACCGAGCTCAATACAGAACTGATAAACATAGCACCTAGTCCTTCAGAGTCTGCTGAACTAGTTAATAACTATTTTAATAATGTTGGTAAAAACTTGGCCAAGTATATATCAATTGATCAAAATGAATTAAATGAATATATCTTGTCGCTGCCTTCTCAAAGTAACTCCATTGGCATAATTGAGCCTGAAGCCTCTGAGGTGGAATCGGTGATAAGGGGACTAAGGAGTGATGCTGCTGCCGGCTGGGATAGTATTCCAACTAATTTCATAAAAATATCAATAAACGAACTACTTCCGGTAATTACCCATCTTTCCAAGTTATGCTTTCGCATGGGCCAATTTCCTAGTCTTTTAAAAAGGTCAATAATACTACCAGTATTTAAGGGTGGGGACAGAGACGATATAAGCAATTACCGTCCTATCTCTATATTATGTGTAATCTCAAAAGTCATAGAAAAACTTAAAAATAGTAGATTAGTCAAATATCTCAAAACATATAACTTACTATCTAAAGGTCAATTTGGTTTTCAAAAAGGTATGAGTACAGAAGATTCAATTTCAGAACTGGTTAAAAATATTTCACACTATTTAGATAAAAAATATAAACCCCTATGTGTCTTTTTGGACTTGAAAAAAGCCTTCGATGTCGTCTCTGTTCCCATTCTTATGAGCAAGTTGGAAAGATTAGGTATACGCGGCACCTTTCTGGAGCTATTAAGGCAATATTTAAACAATCGTACCCAGCGAGTTAAGCTTGATGATGGTATTTACAGTACAGATATCAAAGTCAGTAACTATGGTGTCCCACAAGGGAGCGTGCTCGGTCCTACCTTATTCCTTATATATATTAACGATCTGACTGATATGCGACTCCATAAAGGACAGGTATTTTCATACGCCGATGACACTGCACTCTTATTTCATGGTTCTACATGGGAGGAAGCATACTCAAATGCTGAGGTTGCGTTAAAAAAGATAACTAAGTGGCTGCGAATCAATTCTTTGACTCTTAACACCGATAAGCTTTTTTTTTTTTTTGTTTTTTTTTTTTTTTTTTTTTCTTTTTTTTTTTTGGGCGGTAGAAGTAAAATAAGCTAGACGTTTTAAAAAATCATCATCTTTTTATTTTAATTTAAAATAGTAAATGTACCATTTGGTTACCTTTTTAGTTCCAATTTAGCAGCTAATACAATAATAGTCACTATATATTGTTGGTAGCATTCTCCATGCACTAAAACCAATTTTAATTGCACTTCACTGCCGGCTGACATTTTTTTTTTTTCTTTTCGCGCTGCTTTCTTTTCTCAACCAACTTGAAAATGGCCACTTTGAGTGATATACATAATACTCAAAAGTCACTTGAATCCACTCTTATGAAGAAGATGGCAGAATTTGAGGCACAACTGAAATCAACAACGGAGCCGTCCTCGGTTGGTGTCCTTTACGAAGAGTTCAGAAACTTCAGGCAGACTGTTTCAAGCATCTTCAGTGCCCTTCAACAGCAAATACTGAGCCTTACTCTTTCTGTTGACTCCATTGAGGCTAGACAGCGTCGCAAAAGTTTGCTTTTTTATGGTGTGCCAGAGGAAACCAAGGAAAACACTTGTGATCTTATAGTTCAACTCATTCAGAAGAAGCTCTCTATTGAGAATGTTGGACCTTCTCATTTCAAGGCTTGTCACCGTCTCGGGGCTCGAGTTGAGGATCGCCCTCGTCCTATTCTAGTAAGGTTCACAGACCACACAGCAAAGACTTCAGTCTGGATGAAGAAGACTGCTCTTAAGGGGACATCGTTCGTAATCACAGAGTTCTTAACCCGTAGAAGGCAGGCTTTGTTCTTAACTGCTCGCAAGAAACTTGGCATTAAGAATTGCTGGTCCCTTGATGGTGATATTTTCATTAAACAATTAGACGGGACTCGTCGTAAAATTGTTTCTGAGGAGGAGCTTGACGCTTTAAGCTGCGACACCAACGGAAATCATCGTAAAATTGACGCCGATGCATCAAGTGGTGACAACAATAGAAATCGTCGTGTGATTGTCGCCGAGGAGGATCCTGAAGCATTAAGTGGTGATACCAATGTCTCGGCTTCTGTTCCTTGCGCTACGGGTAAGCAAGCTTCTACCGCGTCGCGCAGCAATCAAGACGGGAATTTCGCTTCGCATCACCAAACCACCATAAGAAGTAAGCGAAACGTTAGAACTAACAAGTAGTTGCATTGTTGATTATAATCATTAATACTCAGCTGGATCATTCAGTTTATTTTTATGCCAATTGCTTTACTTGTATTGCACTATATTGCTCATAGTTTTCTTGCCCGCTTTAACAATGGAGGTACCGCACATTTTACTATATTTGTTGCTAAAATTACATAATTTGACCCGCTTTATTTTCGCTTTTAGTGACAGACACTTTTATTGTATATCTTTCAATCTGACCACAGACAACTAAGATATTCTGTTCTGACGTTTTATAACTGGATTTTTGTCATTATAAATTTCACCCGTTTGAGAAGGCAAAGTGATGTATGAAGTACAGCCAAGATTAAGTTGTTACTGTTGGAATTTATTTTTAAATAGGTTCAATCTATTTTTTTTTATTAGCTTAACAATGTTGTTTTTTTTATGTATAAATATTAATTAATCATAGTAGGTAAATACTGATAAGTTTATTATTTTTAAAAATTGTATGGTTTTTAATTGCGGTACTCCATAAATGTTTTTGTTATTCTCTCCATAAGTGGTTAATTTAATGTCATTAATCAATAATGTCCTTCTGTTTGAGCTTTTGTATGGATTTATGTACAATTAATTATTTATTACCCCCGCTTTGATTCAGCTCGTAAGTTTCGTTTCTATTTGTAGTGTTGTACTTTAAAAATTCTGTTGTTATCATTTGTTTTTGATCTCATTTTGTTACTTAATTTGTCAGCCGGCAGGTAAGCGATTACCGGCATTAGTTGCGTGTTCTAGTTGTTATATATAAAATTTTATTTATCTTTATTTATTTTAGTATAATTATATGTACATAGCTATATATTTTATTTATTAATGGATAATTCTTTTTATTCTGCTTGCGGATCTGACATTTCTACTTCTTCAAATGATTCCTTTCGTGATGTTATGACTCTTGGTGACACGCTC